GGTGTGACAGGTTCAAGTTGCGAACGCAAATGAAGTGTATAATTCTCTCTGTAGAGCCATGTACAATTTGTACTGATTCCGGACCTGTCACGCACACATTTGCGTTCGTTCTGGTACAACCACGCATCTCCACCTTTCTCGGATTTCCCAGTATTACCAAAAAGAAGGGAATCCTATACGAAGTACTTCTTGATTCATTAGGGGGGGAGGTTTCCATCTCCCAATTAAAAGAAATTGAGTCGAACTAATCAAACATATTTTCAAATTGCCTACCTTTTCCCAACCGTTGGACGATAGCATTTATGATGTTGGTTTAACGTCTTACTCGTTTGTACTGACTGAATTTGGCCGAGTTCTTGTTTCTAAGACCCTATAGGGCTTAGTTAAAACCCATGAAAACCATTCGCGATCAAGATGTTACAACTAAGTCCTGGGATCCGAAACGTGAGTCGTCGATACCCATTTCACTATCACTGGCACGAACGCAAGGCCGGTCCGAAGATACCGTACTTAAATTTTGGTGACTCTCCTCACATCAAAAACAAATGCATTCCAACCGTTGAAACATTTCCGAAAACAAATCGAAGCTCACAATTCCGAAAAGGAAGCACAAAATCTGTACACGTAACTATCGACGATATATTTTACGACAATTGCTTGATCCCTGAACCACCACCATGCCAAGGACTCGAGATTCACTGGACATCAACTATGGGGATGATGGCACCTACGATTCCTCTAATTCTGACTCCTATTCCGAGTCTCAATCCGACGACACCGGTTCCGGGTCGTCGTGCTCCGGCAGTGACTACGATTCTTATGACGTTAGGCACGGTGAAGTGAGATCCACGACTTCCTTGGAAGAAGGGGAACAAATGGAAATCGTCTTTGGAGGAAACAGCAGCAGAGCAGAGAGAAAGGGGGACGATGGATACGATGGCTACGACGCTCGAAGCGGAAAATCTTCCAAGAAAAGCATGAGGAGCATGCGCACCATCACCTGGAAACAACGAATACTGCGACAGAAGAAGCTTGCGATCGGCATCGGTGCCGCCGTCCTCCTGGTGCTGATCCTGATCATTGCGCTTCCGGTTTCATTGAGCAAGAAGTCCAAGGATTCCGCGAAGGCGGCAGCTCCAGCTCCCCCAAAGAAAGATATTTTTGCGGACTTTGCGGGTGAGCCCATCGACGACGCAGGTTCCAGCGACAACTCCGGCAAAACCAATACCTCCGAGTTCACGGTCGAAGTCACGATGGAGCCCGAAAACGGTTTCCTCTTCGACACGATAGGCGACGACGGGATCTACAACGACACCATCGCGCCCACACACAAGGGTACCACCTTTTGGTGGGAAACGGGTGGAGGCCAGGATTCGTTCGAAGACGACTACTGGGGAGCGACCGGAACGGCAACATGGGGGCCCTCGTCTACCTTTTACCCCACCGAGTTTTGGTGGGAAACCGGCAACTCGGGAAGTGATCGGGAAGAAGGTACCGGCGAACCCACCGTCACCGCCGTTAACACCACCAATGCGCCAACGACCGGCAGCCCAACGGGCAGCCCCACGGGTAGTCCCACCGAGAGTCCCACCGAAAGTCCTACGGAGAGTCCCACCACCAAATCCCCCACCGTCTCTCCCACAACGAAGGATCTCTTTGCGGACTTCAAGGAATCGGAAGTAACCGAAACCCCCGCCCCAACGGAGAGCCCGACCAAGATTCCGACCGAGAGGCCGGTCGCGGTCCCCATCATTCCCCCGAGGGCGACCCAGCCCCCGTCCACCCCGGCCCCCACGAGGATCACCGAGGCCCCCAGCGCCTCTCCGAGCTGGGAACCCTGGCCGACAGCAGAATCCACCAGCTGGCCGACCTGGGCGCCCACGACGTGGCAGCCCACCGGATCGCACCTCCCGACGATCCTCATAGACTACCCGTTTTATTTCCCCCACATGGCGGCGCAGAACCAGGAGCAGAACGAAGCTACGGTTGCCGAGGGACGGTCCGAGGTCGAGCTCGACGGAGAAGGAAACGTGATGGTGCGCACCCACCACTTCTTTGGACGGAAGTAACCGAAACTCCCATCCGGCCACTCGCCCAACCCCGACCTCGTTTGTTGGTATCCGATGCTGTACCACTAGCCAATCTTTATGAATCGTAGATAAATGTGAACATGAATAATTTAAGCCTAATCACAAAATTTCCATTTGGACTCTATTACAACAGTTCATAGCGCGTGGGGTTACTTCGGTGCTCGTTCCGATTCGGTCCGTTTCGGTCTTGTTGGTTTTCGAGTTAGTGCGTATCCCTGCAACAAGCAGCCCTTGCCCCTCGTCACAAAAACCATCCATCTTCCACCTCTTCCGTCTTTGCAAGAACAGAAAAAGTTTCATTCATGTCGTGGTTGTTTGGGAAGCTTCCTTTGTTTTCGCAAAGGAAACGTGTTGAATTGCACCGGAGTGCATTGGAATGCATCAGAGCACACACAACACTGTACACAAGCAACCAAGACCCTCCAGCATTTTTGTGTTTCCTCCCAAGGTATGCTTTCAAAGGTAAATAAATACAATGGCAGCAACACCAAACCTTGCCCGCGAGAAACATAGATTCCGTGTGTTTCATGCTCGGATGCTGCAAGAGACACCGATAGACGCAAAGCGATTCGCATCGGTTTGGCAGACTGTGTGCTATCTTCCTTAGGTGGCCGTTTTGGTGTCGTGTTGGCCGTCGCCTTTTTCGGACGACTTTTCCCTTGCTTTCTCTCTGCTGCTGCCGGGCGGCGGAGGCAATTCCGCACGGCTTTCTTCCGACGAAAGCTTCGGTGACCAGAACAGCTCCGAGGGATCGGCTTCCCCCCCGCGCAGCTTTCCCTTGTCCCGGGCCAACCGCTTCCGGCGGGCCGCTTCGTGAAAGGAGCAGGCCACCATGCGCCTCGGCGGCGGCCCTTCCGAAACCGGCTTGTACCCGCGCTTGCAGGGGCAAAAGGGGAGCGTCCCGCCCGTTCCAAAGCGCAGCGCGGCCTCCAGGACCGCCCTTCCCTGGGGCGTCTCGTTCGAAGACGCCGCCTCGAGGTAGTGGCCGCCCCCGTAGAGATCGCCGCTTCCGGTCTTGACGGGGTAGCCACAGACAAAGCCCCAGGGGACCCGCTCCGTGACGCTGGCGGAAATCAGGTATCACTCGCTGGGGAGGATCCCGCAGTCCTGCTGAGCCGCCGAGCCGGTGGCTCTCGGGCGGTGGAAGGTGGCGCCGTCTGCGGCGGCGCCGAGTCCGCCCGGACGCTTCCGTTTCTGCCCGGCCTCGAGGCGGGAGGAACGGCGGCGGGACCCGTCTCCGACAACCATGGCCGTTTGGGTCTCTCTGTTTCTTGCGTGCGGCAGGTGCCGGTGATCCGATGCGGTGCAATCTGTTCTGGCGGTCGGTGGAGAGATGGTGTTTTCCCCGAGGCGAGTGGTGGGTCGACGAGCTGGTGGATTTCTGATGGATTCTGTTGCTGATGGGTGGATTTTCGAAATCCGAAATCAGTCGTCTTCCTTGTACTTCGAGTACTCGTACGTACCCAAGTACAGTCCGACAACGTACGGTACGGTTCGTACGGTATCGTCCTGTACGAAGCAGGATGTCTGCCGTTCGATGTCGCTCTGGGGGAAGAACAGAACAGAACAGAACCCAACCGCCCGCTTATCCCCCGAATGAACCGTAACAAAACTTTACCGCACCCGCGCGGCAAAAACGAACCGTTAGCAAAATCTGGTACACGTGCCCCTCCAAAACAAGCATGCGTTGTGGGGGTTTCGGGCGATGCACGGGCAGGCCGTTTTCGCATCATCGCTTCGCACGGTGGGAAAGGCACTGAATGTACCGTACTCTACTCTACAGTACGTACTCTAGGTGAACGATTTACGTACTACTGTACCGAATTACTGTACAGTATTGATGTTGGATTCATGTACGTACCGTTTGGTAGGGGAAGAACTTAGTCGTACGATACCGTACGAACCAGTAGCTGATACGGGTCCTTTTGCGTCGTGAACAAAGGATATTCCGGAACGGATATTATGTTTCTTCCCCATGACCCCGAAGCTGATAAAAATCATTCCAAAAATCCTTGCGAAAGACAGTGTCTGTCATACCGGTACCGTAGAAGGCATTCTCGGTTCTCGATCCCCATAGAATACAATCAGGTAAAACACCATCGATTCGTTGCACAGGAACACAACACACACGCACACAACACAACAAAACGAAACGAAACAGCCCATCCGAATTCCATCGCATCCAAACGGCGACCCGAAAATGTTTCTGGCGAAAAAGGGAATTGCCCTGGCGCTTGCCCTGGCGGTCTCCCCTGCGGAAGCCGCCGGCACCCGCAAAGCCACGGCCGACCTCATCGAATGGATCCAATCCACCGGCGGGCTCTACAACCCCCGGCAGGAGGAGCGCACCGCTTTCGACGGCCGCTCCCGTGGGGTCTTTGCCTCCGAGACCATCGACCCCGGAGAGATCCTGCTGAAGGTGCCCTGGGGCTCGATCCTCGGAACGAAGCAGGCCACCCGGAGCCAGCTGGCCCTCCAGAAGGCCAGGGAAATAGAGATGGAGGCCGACTACCCCGACGAACGCACCATGTTTGCCGAGTGCCGCGCGGTATCGGCGCTGATGGAAGAGCACGCCAGGGGCGGGGCCTCGTTCTTTGCCACCTTCCTGAGGTATCTCTCGCTGCTGGGGGACGGCGCGGACGACCCCGATCCCTTCTTCCCGCCGCCGCCCCCGGCGCTCTGGTCGGAGGAGGGCCGGGCCCTGCTGGAGGACATCAACGACCACGGGACCCTCCCACCGCAGGGCCTCTTTGTCCGGCTCAACCACGACTGGTTCGGATCGTGCATCGAGGACATTTCGAATTCCACGGAGGCCAGGATTGCCGCCGCCGTGTCCGCCCACGGCGGCACGGGGAACGTGCTCAAGGAGTTTGGCTTTGTCGTACCCCTCCTGGACAACGCCCACTACCGCCAGCGGCAGGACGGGTCGCGGCTCAAGAGCGACGGCCACATCAACACGGAGCTTGTCGTCCAGGAAGGGGAGTACGTCGTGCTTCTGGCCACCCGCACGATTCGACCCGGGGAGGAGATTTATCGGTCCTTTGGAGATGCCTCCATCGGGTTCGACGACGACGAGGACCAGGAAGACGACGATGGTTTCGACGACGAGGCCCTCATGGAGTTTGAAACGGGGGCCATCTTCCGGGACTACGGGGTGGTGAACACGGAAACCTACCCCAAGTTCTTCCACTTTCGGATCATCACTTCGGACGACGTGGACGAATCCCTGGGGATCATTCTCGACAAGCCGGAAAGCTTTGGCGACCTCGATGGCAACGGCAACGGCAACGGCAAGGGCCTCTCTGCCGCGTGGGTGATCGACGACGGGGAAGAATACGACTGGGTCGAGATCGAGATGTACATGGCCAGGGCCAAGAACCGCCTCGAGCGGATCGGCTTTGGAAGCCAACCCGGAAACGGACCCCCGGCCAACAGCGGCCTCTCCGCGTACGAGTGGGAAACGGCCAGGGCGTACCACGCGAACCTGCTCGAGGCCGTTTCCATGGCCGCGGACAAACTCGCTGCCATGGACGGCGAAAACGCGGTTTCCTGCCCCGGGGGACTTCCCGCGTCCGGCGCTGCCTGCCCGGTCTGGGACGGATTTTCCGACCTGCCCACCTTGCCGATCGCCTTTCTGGACCTGGAGTTCGACGAGAACAATCCCTACGGCCCGTCGGAGGACTCGTGAGTTTGTACGACCCCGGTAGCGGAAGCAAAATGAAAACAGATTTCTGCGCTCCGTTCTCACCGAGTTTTTGTTTCTTTTTATTTCTCTTTTGCTGGTTGGTTGCTTGGTTGCTTCTTTGTTTGTCGCTGCCTGGATATCGTTCTATCCTTACCAAAATATCCCATGAACGAGTTAGGTACGCAATGTGCAACGACGACTATGTTTCGGAGTGGAGGGACTACACCCCCTGCGGCGATGAGGAGGTCCTTAGGTCCCAGTATCAGGAGATTCGATTCTTTTCCCACCCGGAAACCAAAGACACGGTCATGAAGCTCGATTATACCGTTCAGCAGGTCAGCAGCTACCGGCCACACTACCACGAATTCGCCGTGCACTACCCCGCACGGTTTATCGACACGGTAAAGCGTGTTCTCTTTGTTGGAGGGGGCGACAGCATGGTCCTCCACGAGGTGCTAAAGTGTGAGTAGCGATTTGGTGTATGCGTCTTAGTGATGTCTGTTGCAAGTGGAAGCAATGCCGGCATCGATGTTTTTCTCACGATGGTTTCCTTGGCACTTTGTCGCTGTGGTCTATTGAATTTGCTTCGCGTGTCCACAGATCCATCCCTGGAACTCGTGGTCGGTTTGGAATTGGATCAGTATGTGGTGCGAAATTCCTTCCGTTATTTCAACACCCAGCCGCATTTTGACGACAAGCGAGTCGAATGGTGGTTCGGAGATGGCGCGAAGAGTCTCCTCATGCTACCAAAAGAATACTTTCAGTCCTTTGATCTCGTCGTGGTCGATCTGAGCGAGACAGTCATGTCCTTCCAGGTCACGGACAAACTTAGCATCTTCCAGACCCTCTCACTCTTGCTGACACCGGAAGGAATCATGCTGAAGAACGGTGAATACTATATGGGAAAGATGAGCCAGTACTTTGATTACACGCTCCAGTATTTTGAATACGATGTACCATTTATCTGCGACCAGGGCATGGTGATTGGCTCGAACAGTATCGACTTTTTCAATCGCACCATGAAAGACCACGGTGTCGAGTTGCTTGTATACGAGTCCCAAGACGAAATCAACGAGAAATTCAACGAGTACTATCGGTTTACGGAATACCGGAAGAACGACGCTCGCAAGCAAGGAAAATGCGTGGACACTGACAACGAATCCGACGACAGAGGAAGCACAAACGCCGGTATATTGATGGTCGTGGAGGCCGAGAATCTGACGTACAAATTTCAATCGATCGATTTCACGAAAGAGCTCCTCATGAAGACCCTTACGACCATTGGTTTTTCCACCCTTCCATCTGATGCGCACGATTCTTCGAATATTGTTGTGGTTATGAACGAGGGATATGTCTCCGCCCGTATCTTTCCCGAACAATCTTATGTTGCGTTTGATATCCAGCTCTGGGGCAACTTCCATCTCATGGAAAAGGCCAGAGATGGATTGGTGGAGGCCTTTGGTGGCGCCGAAGACTCCACCTCGTCGTTCCGGATTGTTACAGGAGGAATGCAGGGAACACCCTCCCAGGAAAGCGACCGACAGACTATCGGACCCCGCATGGTCAACAGCCGCAACTGCGAAGAGGATCCGCCCCCGGATTCCGCTACCACCGCAACGCAAAGCATCGATCTTGTGGACGGGGCCCTCGAAGCAAGCCTGGGCCTGGTCGAGGAAGGACCAGTGACTGTTGCTGTTCTTTGTGGAGCCGAAGGAGATCCCTGCAAAAGCATCGAAGTGTTGTCGAAGGCTTCCGACAAGGTGAGAAAGGTCGTGCCCGTGTACACGTGCACAAGCCTGGAGCAGAGCAGCGCTTGGTTTGCGCCAGATGTTTCCCAAAAGATGGCCGACTGCGAGGCAAAAATTGTAAAAACGCTGTCAAGCGACTCCCCTGACAAAAGGATTTCCATGTTGGTCATCGACGACAGCGCCGACCACATAATGGGCAAAGTATTGGTGGGTATCTTCACGAGTACCTGGAACCGAAAGAGACTCTTGGCGTCCAGCCGCTTTGTAGCTTTCGTAAATAATAGTGAAACATCGCACGCATGGCGGCGAAATGTGCTGGTGAAAATCAGGAAGCAGGTCAACTACAAGCCAATGAGCTTGGTCGATTTGGTACTGGAAGACACCCAGACATCGTCTATGGTAAGCATTCTATCGCTCCACGATCCCGACTTTTTCTTCCACCAAAAAGAAATGGTCGAAAGATTCAACACAAAGCATGGGGATACTGCCGGTGCCACCATGGAGGTCGAGAGTGTCTTTGATGGCCTTCCCGCCCCGCAACCAGGACACTTTCGTCCCAAGAAGTTCAAGGCGGACGACTACGATCCGGAGCCTGCCAAGGAACAGCACAAGGAACAGCTTTCGCTGGGCCGCCAGAGCATTGTGCAATTTGAAATCTCTGGCAATGGCCATGTTGTCACTGCGGAAATCCTTCAAAACGCGCTTCAGCGAGCCTTTGGGTCGAGCGAAAACGCCTTTGAGTTCTCAGCTTTCGAGAATAATAGTATTGGTGACGGATTGGTCGTCGTGGCGTTGTCCCAAGAATTGGCCACAAACGTGGTGGTCACATGGGACGGAAACCTCCACCTAAATGTCAATTTGTTTGCGAGGGACGTGCAGCCCCGACTCAGGCAGCAATTCATTGAAGAGTTTACTAGTACGCTCCGAATGGCAAAAGTGACACTTAGCGACACCCATCCGAGGGGCACCGGCCGCGTAGTCAGCTTTCCAGGCCACATCAATTAAAACTGAATTTATTGAAATGAATCAAAGCAATGACTATTGTAGACTCAAACCACCCCAGTGGTCGTATTGCGGCAGCACGGTGCATACACGTTGTCGTACCCACATGACAAACAACACACGAGTCTGGTTGAAACAGTCGATGCTATAGGTTCCAATACTGATTTATTCCAAGTTCACTTTATTCCTTTGGTAAGGAACAATGTCCCTACATTCCACCGTCTTCAAGACATCAAGTATCGTGCGATTCGAGGTAAATACTAGTAGTAAATTGTAATCACCCGAATGTCTTGTTTTACACGTAGCTTTTCAGCATACCAATAATGCTTTGGAAACCAAAGACGGAAATAGAAAAGGAAGTTTATATTATATCATAATTCTATGACAACGTACACTCGTACGCTTTGTTTATAGCTCAAGGACAACATCGGGGGCCGCCTCATTTAGTTTTTTCAGAATTTTTTCCTTGTCATTCGTGTCGACCGACGAAGAGGACAGGAATTGCTGCAGGGTTCCGATCTTGTGCATTCCATTTCTTCCGTCCCGGTAGCGATAGCTGGATTCGTAAACGCTGTCCCCGTCTGTGTACATTCCCGGTCGGAGACGTCGTTCCCTCCAGTACGCACCGGAAGAGTCGGTGAAGAAATGCTTCGGAGAAAAATTGAAGAGATTTCTAAAAAAAAGGCCCCAAAGAAATTCAGAGTAAGTAAGATGAGCCATACAAAACGAAAGGGAGGGGAGGAGAGGCTTAAAGCAGATCGGATGCCCGCAGCTTCTAATGGACAGCCAATCATCCGCCACTTAAAAACCAAAAACAGAACTTCAGGCCGTTGATTCAAGAAAGTTTTCTTGAAACAACGAAAGAGTACTTTAACACCCGACTTACTTCAATGATCGTTCCMGAGCTTCGTATTTTGTGGTCACGATAGGGACGTTGGTGCTCTTCATAATCGTTGAGCCGTCTTCGCCCTTTTCTTCGATTTGCACTTTGCGTCCCGTGTTGGTGTACTTCGCGAAAATGTCGATCTTGCCCCGGTCGAACAAATCTTTGACAATAGCTTCCTTATTGACGTGCACCAATCGAACAGACCACTTGGAATTCTCTGGTTTGGGGCGGGCGTGCCACGAAATGGGCTTGTCTTTATTGCTTCGATCCACAAGCCCAACAAATTGGTACTTGTTCGGATTCTTGGGTCTGCCCTCGGCGTCCTTTCCAGTTGAGGCTTCGCATTTGGCCACCGCGGCATCGTGGGCGCTTTCAATGAATGCACCTTCCGTGCGACGGCGTCGTTCGTCGGCGCTCTTGGCTTGGTTGACCCAATCTTTTCCGCTTGCGTCGAACGCATCGTCATCGATCTTAGCAATTCCGAGAGCGAGTTCTTCCCGAGCCGTCTTTTCCGCTTTCAGGCCCTGTGTGAAACGGTTTAGGAATCGATTTCGGGGCGTTACCATGGTGTGTTGTGCGATTGGTTCTCCATCACCATCATTCGACGAAGACGAACCGGGAATTTTCTCGAGCACCTCGGGATCCGGAATGGTCAGGGATTGCAGAGGCGAGGCAAATCGAATGTCCTGCATTGCCGAGGAGATCCCGGCAAGCAGCAGCAGAGCTAGAGCCGTTTTGTAGTTGTTCTTCGTCATGTTTTCTTGGTTGACGACAGGTGCTCAATGGTCGCTGCGTGTGGATTTCCTGTGATAAAAGGAGAGACGTGAAGTTGCTAGCGGCAGAGGATATCGAGAACGATGAAGGTAGGTCGACTGATGACAGACACGAGGGCACCTGGTCCGATGAAGAGAACTGTACTCGTTCGTAGTATTAATTCATGGTATCGTAGCATGCAGTTTTTGATATTGATATCTACGTTGATGGCTTCCAAAAAATAATCATAAAATATGTGCGACCTTCCATGTGGAAGATTTTGTTCGACCAAGAGTATTCGTGAATGGAAATCACTCTATTCTGTTCACGAATGAGATAATCGGTCAGTCCCGTTGGTCAAAAGATGTTTCTAAAATGTGGGTAACTTTTTTATGGAATGACCCATGTTAAAGTTCTCCAATATGTCCAATATGCCACATTTCTTGTAAAAAATTGGTTTGGTCCACTCCCAAGTAAAGTAACCCACAAATAGTTTAGGCCGTGCTTGAAAAAACAAAAAATAATCTTTAAATATAAAGTAATTGATTAAGAGTAATAGTACAAGTGTCCAATTTATGATTTATGAAGCAGAAAGTGTGCGTTGGAATCCGTGTGTGGTGTGTTGGCTGTTGTATTGTTGAAGGTTATTCCATGTAACACCACAACATGGTAGTTGCTGCTCTTGAAACGCCACTGCAGCATGATCGCAATCGATCAACCACACACTTGATTGAAATAAAACGAGTCGATGGCAAAAGTTGAATTACGCCGCTATGATCTTACGAATGAGCTTGCGCACCTCGTCTTTCTCCGCTGTATCTACATCCTTGGCGGTCAGCAGGGGCGCTAGGGCTTCGATGGCACCCTCGGCCATCATTATAGTTTCTTTCTTCTGAATGTTAGAGCAGGCACCGTCCAGAAGCTTGGTCGCCCATTCCCGGATGTTAGCATTGTCGTATGCAAATTCTCGTAACCCCATCACGCAAAGAGGTAGGACCCGTTCGTAGTCGGAAGACTTGCCAAAGAGGGTCTTTTCGTGACATCCATAAAAAAAGGAGATAGCTTCCTCGAGGAGTTCTTCGTCGCCATCACTAGAGGTAACGTCCCGCTTGAAAACGTCGAGGCAATGGGTCAGAATGTCTAATTTCTGGAACTCCTCATTGGTGACGTACCCGTGGTAAGTGATTCGATAAAACGTGTTGAAGACATTGGCAATCGTTTCGGCGGCAACCGGATGGTCTACCGAGCCTATCCGCGCTAACATCTGCAGGCCGGCGTCCAGAACAAGCATGGATAACTTTTTGGTCATTGCAGTTTCAGCGTTGCAGTAGACGTTCATGATGGCGTTCCACACACCCTCGGCGGCTTTGAGTGCCAGGGGGTGGTCCTTATTGGCTTCGTTGTACTCGTTGCTTGCCATCAACAGGGTTTCAATCCCCTCATATTTAACGACTACCGTAGCATTCACGACGGCGATGTCCTCGTTGATGCCAAACTTTCCCACGAAACAGACGTTGCAAATCACGTCGCAGGCCTTGTGGATGCACTCCATCAAAAACTCCCCCTCGCATCGTGGATCCTCGATCTGTTCCCTCAGAAAATCCACTACCTTTACTACTCCCCCGTAGGTCAAAAAGTGTTTTAGAAGATTGGTATCCTGGGTGTGAGCCCATTCGGCTAGCCGTTCGAGTGCGCGGAGAAATTCCGCACCCGAGTAGTGGTCCGTCGCCACGATCTTGCAGAGTTCCTTTGAAAGTTCGCGGTGCGATGGAAGGATGAGGGGATTTCCCGCTCTGTCTTTGTAAACACGTTTTTTGGCAGTCTTGTGTTTCTGTTTTTTTGCCGTCTTGTCGGCTTGCTTCGGATTTTGTGGAGGTCCTGCTTCGTCGGTATTGTCGTTATTCGGGCTCTTTGATTGCTCTTCATTGCTCTGTCCCTTGCTGTCTTCGCTATTCCGCCTGTCGATATCATCATGAGATTCTTCTTCAATCTTGTGAAGTACATCTGACATGAAAGGAGAGCTGCGAGTTTCTTGGCGATGGCGTTCCATGTCTTCTTCATAGTTGCTAAATTCCTCGTCATCGGAGTCGGAGTCGGAGAAGTCGTCGTCATCTATTATGTCGCGTTGTTGGTTGCTACGAACAATATTGTAAAGATTATGGTCGCTTTGTTGCTTGCTATGAACAATAATATGAATATCATGGTTTTCATCGTTTTTGGTGTTGCTGTTGGTGCCTTTGACATTATTGCCAGGATCACCGAAATCACTCGCCGGTATCGTCGGCGGTGGTTTTGGGAGGTCGGCAATTTTGTCGAGGCTCTTGTCGATATCGTTATCTAGATATAGATCGTCGTCGCTATCGCTATCTTCGACGTCGCTCATTGAAGCAGGCAATGCCTTTTCTTCCAATACACTTGGGTCTTCGTCGCTCGATTCAGAACTTGTTGGAAAAGCATCGTCGTCGTCGCTCTCCTTCTTAGCTTTTGATTTCGACTTGCTTCGTCTGGGGATGCGCCATCGCTTCTTCGTGCCTAAACCCATGATCAAAAATTTGGGTTACTTTGTTGTGTTCAATATGCAACGCTTCCAGTGTTGTTCTGTTGAATAAACAAGTGGTGCGGTAGAAGATCAAACAAGAACGAGAAGAAGGAAGGATGGATAGACCATTATTCTTGACGACGGATGCGATGGTATCACGATACAGGAATGTTGTGACGATTGATTCGTATTATCCTTAAGTAATAGAATCTCAGTAACTCTTAAGTAGGGGAATTTTTTGTTTTCATTAGGACTTCGGATTATTATTGTTGTCTCAAAACTGCAGGACTTTTCTCACTTTGGTCTTTCCCAATTGACTAAATTTCAGTTTCTTCGAAGATCTTCTAATAGAATGAATGACGTGACGTTCTTCTAGTTGAACTTCCATCTTTATATATCAATGAGTTCTACAGTGAGCAATAATAATCGGTGGATCATCCATAATAAAATCCTGCCAACCAATAAAAAATATTGTACAAGGTATGGTACCGTGAGTTTATTATTACTGTACTTCGTAGTAGTACTGTGAAGTACGGGAGAGCCCCCGATCGCGCGTTTTTTAATATCCGCGTTCCCCAGCAAGATTCCACGTCAGTGACAAGGGGGAACAGGGAATTCTGTTCCACAGAAGGTTCGCTATTCGGGGGCGTAATGAAATTTGATAAGGGGGGAATGTCTGAAAATAAAATTAATTATCGGCGAATTAAAAGTTTATTAATCTGATTAATTAACTTTATTAATCTGATTAATTAACTTTTTTAATCCCGGGAATTAACTAGTCAATTCAAAATGGTTTTCATCACGCATTCAAAACTGTACTGGGGCCTACGCTGGTCAACGCTAAAACTGCAGCTGCTGATCCAGCTGCTCATCAAGGAGCAAAATTGATCTATTTGGATGGATCCTAGTACAAAGCTGTGTAGAAAATCCTGTAGAAAATCGTGGATCAAGGTACTTGCCTTGCGATTTGGTCAAAATAGAAGGGTTTTGATTCAGCGTTCAAAATTGTACTGAGGCCTAGTGTCTTGACCTTTACCTGCATCCAGCACGCTGATCCAGCAAGCTAAACTGTTCTTTTTCATTCTATCGAAAAACTCCCCGGTTCAAAGCAACCGACCATGGGAATTGCTCCATTTCAAGACCTTCCACTCAACCTCTTACACTATACTTGGTATCAATCGATAGATCTCTTCCATTGTCGATTAAATGTCCCTTGAACTGTAGAAAACAAGCAAGTGTAGCCTATTTTATAGTGTGTTCAGTGCCAGCAGAGCTTCCAAAAGAAATCACCAGCACGACGAAATGGTGATAGATGAAACTACTGTTGAAGACACTGTAAGAGAAGTGATCCAATGGCCGCCGCACCGTATCTGGGAAACTGACAAAGCAATTCGTATTGCTAGCCTATTTGGTGCATCGAGTGTAGTTATTGCTGATATTTGGAATCGTATTCACCAGCAGCAGCAATTGTTGTCGGGAGCTGAACTTAAGCATCTGCTGTGGGGTTTGTTACTCCTCAAGGTATATGGCACATCTGAAGAAGTCCACTGTGCAATTGTTGGATGGCCCCATAGCGATACATTTAGAAAGTGGTCATGGTATTTTGTAAGAAAGATCTTTGAGCTCCAAGAGGAAGTCATTGTATGGGAGAACAGATTTCTTGGACAACCTCAATCAGCGACAGGAGAATACTTGCCAGCAGCAGAATGTATGGTATCGGTGGATTGGTTGGACTGCCCATGCTATGAACCTCATCCTTTCTCAACTGACATGTATTCAGAGAAGTTCAATGGACCTGCCATCCGGTACGAAGTTGCAATTTGCATTGAAACAGCTCATATTGTTTGGATTAATGGACCTTTTCCTGCGGGTACTTCTGAGAAAGGAATCTTTGATAGTGATCTTGCTAATCGTCTGGAAGAATGGGAATGTGTTGAGGCGGATAGTGGACTGAGGGGAACAATAAAGGGAAAGACCCCAAACCAGGGGATAGATAGTAGGCAAAGAAAACAGAAGTCTATTGTTCGCGGCCGGCATGAAAATATAAATGGGAGACTGAAGATCTTCAATGTGCTGAATGCTTCTTTTCATCACACTGAAGGGAGGAACAGGGATACAATGATTGGAAAGCACGGGATGTGCTTTGCAGCGGTTGCTGTTGTTACTCAGCTCAAGCTTGAGCTTGAAGGGGGTCTTTACGATGTTGATTATGATGTTTGATACACATGAGGGGATCATACTTTTGCAGAGGAACACGATTCAACAACAGCAACAACAGCATCGCGTTGGTCTCCACTAAGAGAGCTGGAATCAAGGAGTAGCTGTAATGGACTGGAGGAACCCCCTGGGGACTGACTTGCTGGCGTGGCGACTCATCCTGGGCCTATGAAAATTGAATCCTACTGGAGACGCTTGGAATCCAGTGAATCCAGTCCCCTGCTGGAACAGCTTGCCTTGCAGCTTCCACAGACGCTCGACGAGACGACTAGACCGATTCAATTGCACTTGAGACATACTTAAGAGGGGCGGATCGAACACAAGAGCTTGTCCATCTATAGCAACAGTACTATTTGTATACAGTTTATCTTTAGTAAGAATAATATCTACCACGAGTAGTTGCAATAGACTTGAGCAATACCCCAAGGGCCACCAAGCGGGGTCTTCCAGCCTTCCTGGGCCTACAGTTTTAGAATGTACTGTAGCGTGTCTGGAATCATAGGAACAAGTACTCGTTAATCAAAGTTGGATAGCTCTGATTTCAACTCATCAATATCTTGCAGCATTGTACGTATTGGATTCAGTTGTTCATTGGATAGGATTGAGTCGTCAACAGAGTTAAAAGAGGACATAGAAGGAGATGGTAGTAGTTCTGATGGGTCTACTACTAGTCAAGAAGTCTGCTGCATAGTATCGTCGGTATTGGTAGTACGAGCGATAGCTTTACCTATCATTAGAGTGAGGGGTCAGGAACAATGTTGTGAGTTCTTGCTGTTGTTCTAGTTCTTTTTCTGCTTCCTTCTCTTTCATCCATACTACTAGAATCAGCATCGAAAGCTACTAACAAGCCTGCTGGAGGTAAGGGAGGTCGTGCAGCAAATTCAAGTTGCTGCTGGTGAGCTAGTACTCTGTTGCGTCGATTCTCCTCTTGGATCTGATCCACAAGCCGACGCTGCAGTTCTTGTTGCTTTTGCTGCTCCTCCTCCTCCTCCTCATCCTCTTGCTGTTGCTTTTGCTCATCGATTCGTCTACCACTTGGTTCCTTACCTAGAGCAGCCTTTCTACCACCGACACGAATGCCTCTGCTCCTCTGCTTCTTCTTGTTGGGCATCTCTGCTTGTGCAATTATCTGAAGCACTTTGATGATTCCACCTGGTGGGAGCTCCTCTCCAATATCTAGATCATCCTCACTAACAACAACATCAACAACCTCTACATCAACAGATTCCTCATCGACATTCATTGCTGTATCAAACTCAATGGTAAAAGAATCTTCGATAGTCTTCTTGTTCTCGCCATCATCCTTGTAGAGCTTCCGGAGGTATCTTCGCATGGTCTTGAAGACACTGTGGTCCTTACCAAACTGATGCTTTTGTCCCCTCTGGATAGCAACATGTCTGGAAACTTTCTTGAACCATCGAGGCCACCGGATAGTGAGAAGAAGAGTGTGAGGATCAAGCCATTCAGGAACAATCAAGTCGGCATGAATTGCATTGTGCATGATGATTCTAATCATCGTGTAGACACTGTCCTCATAGTCTTCATCAGATGAGTCATCGCTATCTCCAGTGTCTTGGTTGTCCCAAGTTCCAATGATAGTAGGATAGGCACTGCCTATGACTCTCACATGACTGCAGTCCCCAAGACTGAGCTTGTTTGCAGCCTCGGTAAGCTCCTCCATGGACATCTTCTTCGTCGTGGATGCTGGTGTCGTGGTTACTGGTGGTGGTACTACCTTCTTTCTTGAAGCAGAGGAGCGTGGTGCACTGATAGGCATGTCCTCTTGTCTTTGTTTCTTGGTGGGTGTTGGTGAGCAGAACTCTGGTGAAAAGAGGACCTGCTTCTTGTTCTTAGTACTTGGTGGAGTAGAGGACCTCCTTCGTCTTGTCGGTGGTGGAGAGGAAAAAGCAGCAGCACCAGAAGCTAATAAAGCAGATGATGGAGTTTGGGGAACACCTTCAACGGTTGGCTCTGTTATGTAGAATCGGGGAATATCAGCAAGCTTCTCTGCAAGAAAAGCCAGTTTCTAGTAGGAGTATTGTTAGCAACAGGAGCATCGTCGACAGCAGCAACGACAGCATCGTCAACAGCAGCAACGACAGCATCGCAACGATAGCATCGTCGACAGCAACAGCACCGCCAGCACCAATTGCTACTTACTTTTTCTCGGTTGTAGAATCCACTGCCAGTTTTCCAATGCTCATATATCACTGGATAATGCCTCCACTGTTCCCTTGAACCGGATTTTTTGATATCCCAGCCCTGTTGTCCTCCTGTGTTCAGATAAGTCCAATAGTAATACACTACGAGTTGCTCTACAGCAGATAGATTATTGTATGATACCTCTGGATCCTGATCTTTCTTTATCTTGCTATGGGATCCAAGAGTCCTTGCCATTGTCACCACAGCACTGCTTGTTGTAAGAGTGGCTCTTTTGACTCCTAAGAGGTGCAGCTGGATTACACAGTGTTATCGCGGGGGACAAGCAAAAAAGAAAGTTAAAAGGGGAGTATTGCTTACTAGGACCGGCCCACGATTGATTGAGTGAGCTTTGGTGGGACCGAGGACCGGTCTGCGCGTGCTTTGAAAATGATATTCTGTCACTATAGCCAAATCCATTGAATATAATATAGCTAGATAGAAAAAATTAATTAATCTCAGTAATAAAGTTAATTAACTTGATTAATAAACTTTATTATTGGCGAGTTAAAAGTTAATTAATAGTGACGTTGGTCTTCCCCCAAAGACACAATTTCCTATGCACCAAAAACAAAATAGTGTTCTTCTGGTTGGAGTTTCCCGGAGCGCCCGGCGCGTGTGGTCTCTTTCAACAGCCAATCCCGTGAATATATTAAAAAACGCACAATCGGGGGCTCTCCGGTAATATTTACTTCTTGAAGTAAATATTTTTTACGTAGTAGTAGTTGTCAACCATGAAGGCAATACAGACATTTCGTATGAATGGA